GAAAGACAATATGCTGTAGTTTTTTTTTTTAACTGCCAGAACAGGAGGTAAGAGATCTAAGGTTGGGTCCCCACTCTGCCACTTGAACTGGGGTGTGTCATTCATTTTTTCCTTTTGTGAAAAAATGGGTATTTAGAATGGATGGTTCCTAAAGTCCTGTATGGTTCTAATAGTCTTGTTCAAACATAGATATGTTCCAATTAAAAAAAAAAAGACGCAAAACTTCATACTTAGGAAATTGATAATTCACTCTTCATTATGGTCCTTGCTGAGTCATTCTTCACTTAGAAAATTCCCCTAGAATTTCCTTGTATAGTAGGAATCTCTAATGAAATCAAGCTATGATTCCAAATACAAAGCTCCAACTCTTTTTTATAAATAATTAGTTTATGGTATACCCTTGGTCCAAGAAAGTGATATGTCTTCTCCAAACCATGACATTCATGAGCAATATTTTATGGCGGCTGTGTTTGCGTGCGTGCAGGCCTGTGCACGCGTGCACGCGTGTGTGTGTTGGCAAGAAGTTAGAACTGCTGAATCCTGATTCAGATATAGTGCCAAAAGGACAGCAGATTTCATGAAAATCATCTGCTTGGAAGGGAAATAAATCATGACTTTGTTGGACCTGTGGTTTCTTAATTTCTAGTACACTCTTGGTCCAGGGTTCCAAAATCAGGACTAACACGGAGAGGCTGCTCCGTGAAATCGTGCAATCATCCTTTCCCCTTCTCCTTTACGCTACCTCCAGAGACTGCATGGATCAGTGGTATTGTTCAAAGCATTTCAGAAAATACTAGCTCAAGCCATTTGCCCTCCAAAATGTATCCCCCCAAAATGTATCCCACCAGAAGGTTTGCTTCTCATCTACCCAAGAGTGTGTGTGCTCCAGATGTCTTTGAACTCTCACTGTAGGATGTGGTGCAAACTGCCCCAGATTGCCTTCATTGCCTTAACTGAGTTATCTCATCAAGAGGGCATTCTCTACTCTACAAAGGCTGACCACCAACCTCTACTTCACCAGCATGGACAAACCAATTTTCTTTTCTTCACTCTTGACTGCTGACTCAGATAAGAAAGATGTAGGCAAAGTCCTCCACAGCTGCCCTTGTTTACACTTAGCAATCCGTGTGTGTGTGTGTGTGTGTGTGTGTGTGTGTGTGTGTTTAGCATGATATTTCTCCTAATATTAGCAAAGCTCTAACGTGCCCGTTAAAACAGGACAGAGTTTCTGCTATGTGCATTTATGTGATGAGCGATTTTACACTCAGTTTTCCCAAAACCTCAGATGCTTTACGGTAAAGTTTTGCTATCCTGTTGCAGATTCAGAAAATGGTCTTGCACAGAAGCAGCGAACACCTCACCGAAGATGTCAGCAGCCCAAAATGTTGAGTAGTCCCGAGGACACCATGTACTATAACCAGTTAAATGTGAGTTCAAAGTGGCCATAAAGCTGTTTCACTGGCTTTGTTTCCAGTTAATAATTCTGTTATTAATACCTGTTCCAGCCCCTCCAGCCCCGCCCCCACTCTCTTATACTCTCCTCTTGAACATGTGCTTAGGCCCTTTATCTGTTGCTTTCATGTCAGGATGTCTGCCTTCACGGTGAATAATTGATGTGGTTTATCAAAGACGAGCAAGATGCATGCTTCATCAGGCTCACTTGAGCCCTTTGATCAAAAAAATTATGCTGTGACTTCTGATATTATCAGCATCTGCTTGCATTCAACACAAAATCACTTTGAATTAAAAATTAACGACTTGCTGCTTTCCTTTGACTGTGTGTTCTTGGCCCTCTCCACAGGGAACTCTAGAATATCAAGGGAGCAAGAGGAAGCCAAGAAAACTTGGGTAAATATCTGTCTTCTTAGTTCTAAGCAACTGTAAACAGAAGGGGTCCTTTGTGATATTATAGAAAATGCAAAACTTTCCAGAGAGGCTTCTAAAAATATTCAGTGGGGATATCACCACTATTATTGACACTGGAAACTACTTTTCACAGTAGCAAGTATGCAAAACTTGAATCTGTTCTGTCTGAAAAGACTGAAATTGCCACCAAAAGGCAAGTGTTATTTTTCATAATTATCCCAGGAAATTGTACTGTCCTCATAATTTGAGATGTGTATCAGGCTGTATAAAACTCTCCCACAAATCAGAGCACTCCATGCAGTGCAAATAGGCCGCTTGCCCACGTTCCCCTACCTGTGGGCCTTAAAGGTACACAAAGGATAATTTCCCCCAATGGTTAGCCAGGGACACTGTGGAGTTTGTGGCTGATTTGCTTGTTAGCATCTCGATTAAGAATAGGAGTGAGACCGGTCAGAATGGCCATCATCAAAAAATCTACAAACAATAAATGCTGGAGAGGGTGTGGAGAAAAGGGAACCCTCTTGCACTGTTGGTGGGAATGTAAATTGATGCAGCCACTATAGAGAACAGTATGGAGGTTCATTAAAAATATAAAAATAGAACTACCATACGACCCAGCAATCCCACTGCTGGGCATATACCCTGAGAAAACCATAATTCAAAAAGAGTCATGTACCCCAATGTTCATTGCAGCTCTATTTACAATAGCCAGGACATGGAGGCAACCTAAGTGTCCATCAACAGATGAATGGATAAAGAAGATGTGGCACATATATACAATGGAATATTACTCAGCCATAAAAAGAAACGAAATTGAGTTATTTGTAGTGAGGTGGATGGACCTAGAGTCTGTCATACAGAGTGAAGTAAGTCAGAAAGAGAAAAACAAATACCGTATGCTAACACATATATATGGAATCTAAAAAAAAAAAATGTTCATGAAGAGCCTAGGGGCAAGATGGGAGTAAAGATGCACACCTACTAGAGAATGGACTTGAGGATACAGGGAGGGCGAAGGGTAAGCTGGGACAAAGAGAATGGCATGGACATATATACACTACCAAACGTAAAATAGATAGCTAGTGGGAAGCAGCCACATAGCACAGGGAGATCAGCTCGGTGCTTTGTGACCACCTAGAGGGGTAGGATAGAGAGGGTGGGAGGGAGGGAGACGCAAGAGGGAAGAGATATGGGGACGTATGTATATGTATAACTGATTCACTTTGTTATAAAGCAGAAACTAACACACCATTGTAAAGCAATTATACTCCAATAAAAATGTTAAAAAAAAAAAAAGTTAAAGATGTAAAAGAAAAAAAAAGAATAGGAGTGAGGTAGGTAATTGGTACTAGTCTGAGAACTAAAGATCAGGAAGGGAACTTTCTCATCTAGAGGGAACCAGACAAGTTAATTCACATAATTTAAGTTGCAATATGATTACAATTTCCAGATACCACTAAATTGGGCCCATTATTAGTGTGTGACCTAGATGTGAAAGGCTTTGTGGATCAGACACGAGTTCCTCCGGGCTGGGAGACCCTGAGCTACCGTAAGCTGCCCCCACGACTCAGTGTTGGGGCCCAACCCTGTTCCAAGTACTCACACAACTTAAGCTGCCCCATTGATGACTGCTGCACTTGTTTTCTTTTTCTGCTGAAACTCTTTCCTTTGTTGCAGCCAAATCAAAGTGCTTGATGGGGAAGATGACTATTACAAATCTCTGTCACCTGTGGGCTCTATCCCCGAGGAGGACAGCTCAGCCCACCCTCTCTTTTTTTCTTCATCCTCAAAGGGAGCATCTTCTGCTCAGCACTGAGCTGTACTTCCTGCCCCCCAAGTCTGTTGAGGGTAAGAACAATCATGGTAATTGACTGATTGTCATTTAATAAGAAAGTCGTGCAATGGGGTCAGCTTCTATGGACATGTGGTCTGTTCTGGAGCCTTACTGAACAATTTTCAGATTTCAAACCATTTTCTCCTACCTCTGTCACCCTCCCCACATCTGCTGTGTAGCCTGACCTAGGCAACCTCTCCTTTCCTCATCCCATGGGTCCCTGTGGGACACTGAGCACACCTCCACTACAGCAATAACCATCATTCATGCCCCCAACATCTAAGAGGGTATCAGTCTCACGTGTGGACACTGATGGTATTTCTTTATTTTTCCCACCATGTCATTTCATGCAGAATCCGCCCCTGTGGAAATCCAGGAGTCCCTTTCCTCCTCGCGTCTACACTGCATCCCCTTCCCCTTTGCTGGACTTTTCTACCCCATCCTGCCTCTCCCCAGGGTCAGGGCTCCATTGCCGAGTGCCCCCATCCTTGAGGAGTACACTCAGGGTCTCTGAGGCCAGGATAATTTTTCATGCTCAGGGGAACCTGAATCTTTCAGGTTCTTCCTTTAAGACAAATGAACCCCTCTCTTGCTAATTATTATCCTGATAAAGGCTTTGCCTCTTTATTCTGCCTTACCAAGACACCCCCATCAACTTGGCAGTGAAAAGAAAGGAATGAGATGGAAAGAAAATCTGGACCTGTCAGAGTCCGTGTCACATCGTTTTGTAACTGTCCATTCTCTGGTTGGCTGTCTCCATGAGGCTATGAGTGGCTGCAAGGGAAGCATTTTGTCTTGTCCACCTTTCTGTGCCCAGAGCCTAGCACGGTGCCTTGCACAGAGAGGACATCCAGTAAATGCCCACCCTTGAGTGAGTGGAGAGACTTAGTTATACAACATATCTGACAGGAAAGTTACTTTCAATTATATGTGATAGACTATTAATCACTTTTCTTACACCATAAGCTCTGATTTTTCAATGAAGTTTGGCCTAGTCCTATTGTAATGATGTTTTACCATATATTATATTACTCAGTGTGATTCAATACAACAAGTTTTTTGAGTAACTACTCTGCACGACAATATGTGAGAGATTGCTGTGTGATATGAAAACCTAACAAGACCCTTTCTCTAGAAAAGATGTCCTTAACATCCTTCTTGCGGGGCGCCTTCAAGATGGCAGAGGAGTAAGACATGGAGATCAGTTCCTCCCCACAAATACATCAAAACTATATCTACATGTGGAACAACTCCTACAGAACACGTACTGAATGCTGGCAGAAGACCTCAGACTTCCCAAAAGGCACCCTCAGGTGACCTACATGCAGAGGCAGGGCCAAATCCAAAGCTGAACCCCAGGAGCTGTGCAAACAAAGCAGAGAAAGGGAAATCTCTCCCAGCAGCCTCAGGAGCAGTGGATTAAATCTCCACAGTCAACTTGATGTATCCTGCATCTGTGGAATACCTGAATAGACAAAGAATCATCACAAAATTGAGGCGGTGGACTTTGGGAGCAACTGTAGACTTGGGGTTTGCTTTCGGCATCTAATTTGTTTTGGTTTTATGTTTATCTTAGTTTAGTATTTAGAGCTTATTATCATTGGTAGATTTGTTTATTGATTTGGTTGCTCTCTTCCTTTTTTTAAAAAAGATATATTTTTTCTTTTTTCTCTTTTTGTGAGTGTGTATGTGTATGCTTCTTTGTGTGATTTTGTCTGTATAGCTTTTCTTTTGCCATTTGTCCTAGGGTTCTAAATGTCCTTTTTTTTTTTCTTTGTATAGTTTTTAGCACTTGTTATCATTGGTGGATTTGTTTTTTGGTTTGGTTGATCTCTTCTTTCTCTCTTTTTTTAATTTTTAATGTTTTTGTTTTTAATATTTTTTTCTATTTTAATAACTTTATTTATTTATTTTTTCTTTCTTTCTTTCTTTTATTTTTTCTCCCTTTTCTTCTGAGCCGAGTGGCTGACATGGTCTTGGTGCTCTAGCCCGATGTCAGGCCTGAGCCTCTGAGGTGGGAGAGCCCAGTTCAGGACACTGGTCCACCAGAGACCTCTCAGCCCCATATAATATCAAACAGCGAAAGCTCTTCCAGACATTTCCATCTCAATGCTAAGACCCACCTCCACTCAACGACCAGCAAGCTACAGTGCTAGACACCCTATGCCAAACAACTAGCAAGACAGGAACACAACCCCACCCATTAGCAGAGAGGCTGCCTAAAATCATAATAAGTTCACAGACACCCCAAAACACACCACTGGACACGGTCCTGCCCACCAGAAAGACAAGATCCACCCTCATCCACCAGAACACAGGCACCAGTCCCCTCTCTCAGGAAGCCTACACAACCCACTAAACCAACTTTACCCACTGGGAGCAAACACCAAAAACAACGGAAACTACGAACCTGCAACCTGCGAAAAGTGGACCGCAAACACAGTAAGTTAAGCAAAATGAGAAGACAGAGAAATACACAGCAGTTGAAGGAGCAAGGTAAAAACACACCAGACCTAACAAATGAAGAGGAAATAGGCAATCTACCTGAAAAAGAATTCAGAGTGATGACAGTAAAGATGATCAAAATCTTGGAAATAGAATAGAGAAAATACAAGAAACATTTAACAAGGACCTAGAAGACCTAAAGAGCAAACAAACAGTGATGAAAAACACAATAAATGAAATTTAAAATTCTCTAGAAGGAATCAATAGCAGAATAACTGAGGCAGAAGAACAGATAAGTGACCTGGAAGATAAAATAGCAGAAATAACTACTGCAGAGCAGAATAAAGAAAAGAATGAAAAGAATTGAGGACAATCTCAGAGACCTCTGGGACAACAAAATACACACCAACATTCGAAATATAGGGGTCCCAGAAGAAGAAGAGAAAAAAAAAGGGACTGAGAAAATATTTGAAGAGATTAGAGTTAAAAACTTCCCTAATATGGGTAAGGAAATAGTCAATCAAGTCCAGAAAGCACAGAGAGTCCCACAAAGGATAAATCCAAGGAGAAACACACCAAGACAGATATTAATCAAACTATCAAAATTAAATACAAAGAAACAATATTAAAAGCAGCAAGGGAAAAGCAGCAATTAACATACAAGGGAATCCCCATAAGGTTAACAGCTGATCTGTCAGCAGAAACTCTGCAAGCCAGAAGGGAGTGGCAGGACATATTTAACGTGATGAAAGGGAGAAAACTACAACCAAGATTACTCTACCCAGCAAGGATCTCATTAAGATTCGACAGAGAAATTAAAACCTTTACAGACAAGCAAAAGCTAAGAGAACTCACCACCACCAGACCAGCTCTACAGCAAATGCTAAAGGAACTTCTCTAGGCAGGAAACACAAGAGAAGGAAAAGACCTACAATAACAAATCCAAGACAATTAAGAAAATGGTAATAGGAACATACATTCGATAACTACCTTAAATGTAAATGAATTAAATGCTCCAACCAAAAGACATAGACTGGCTGAATAGATACAAAAACAAAACTCATATATATGCTGTCTACAAGAGACCCACTTCAGAACTAGGGACACATACAGACTGAAAGTGAGGAGATGGAAAAATATATTCCATGCAAACGGAAATCAAAAGAAAGCTGGAGTAGCAATTCTCATATCAGACAAAACAGATTTTAAAATAAAGACTATTACAAGAAACAAAGAAGGACACTACATAATGATCAAGGGAACAATCCAAGAAAAAGATGTAACAATTGTAAATATTTATGCAGCCAACATAGGAGCACCACAATACATAAGGCAAATGCTAACAGCCATAAAACAGGAAATCGACAGTAACACAATAATAGTAGGGGACGTTAACACCCCACTTTCACCAATGGATAGATCACCCAAAATGAAAATAAATAAGGAAACATAAGCTTTAAATGATACATTAAACAAGATAGACTTAATTGATATTTATAGGACATTCCATCCAGAAGTAGCAGATTACACTTTCTTCTCAAGTGCTTATGGAACATTCTCCAGGATAGATCATATCTTGGGTCACAAATCAAGCCTTGGCAAATTTAAGAAAATCGAAATCATATCAAGTATCTTTTACTACCACAATGCTATGAGACAAGATATCAATTACAGGAAAAGATCTGTAAAAAATACAAACACATGGAGGCTAAACAATACACTACTAAATAACCAAGAGATCACTGAAGAAATCAAAGAGGAAATAAAAAATTTCCTAGAAGCAAATGACAATGAAAACACAACGACCCAAAACATATGGGATGCAGCAAAAACAGTTCTAAGAGGGAAGTTTATAGCAATACAATCCTACCTCAAGAAACAAGAAACATCTCAAATAAAAAACCTAACCTTACACCTAAAGCAATTAGAGAAAGAACAACAAAAAAACCCCCAAAGTTAGCAGAAGGAAAGAAATCATAAAGATCAGACCAGAAATAAATGAAAAAGAAATGAAGGAAACGATAGCAAAGATCAATAAAACTAAAATCTGGTTCTTTGAGAAGATAAACAAAATTGATAAACCATTAGCCAGACTCATCAAGAAAAAAAGGGAGAAGACTCAAATCAATAGAACTAGAAATGAAAAAGGAGAAGTAATAACCGACACTGCAGAAATACAAAGTATCATGAGAGATTACTACAAGCAACTCTATGCCAATAAAATGGACAACCTGGAAGAAATGGACAAATTCTTAGAAAAGCACAACCTTCTGAGACTGAACCAGGAATAAATAGAAAATATAAACAGACCAATCACAAGCACTGAAATTGAAACTGTGATTAAAAATCTTCCAACAAACAAAAGCCCAGGAGCAGATGGCTTCACAGGCGAATTCTATCAAACATTTAGAGAAGAGCTAACACCTATCCTTCTCAAACTCTTCCAAAATATAGCAGAGTGAGGAACACTCCCAAACTCATTCTACAAGGCCACCATCACCCTGATACCAAAACCAGGCAAAGATGTCACAAAGAAAGAAAACTATAGGCCAATATCACTGATGAACATAGATGCAAAAATCCTCAACAAAATACTAGCAAACAGAATCCAACAGCACATTAAAAGGATCATACACCATGATCAAGTGGGGTTTATCCCAGGGATGCAAGGATTCTTCAATATATGCAAATCAATCAATATGATAAACCATATTAACAGACTGAAGGAGAAAAACCATATAATCATCTCAATAGATGCAGAAAAAGCTTTCTACAAAATTCAACACCCATTTATGATAAAAACCCTCCAGAAAGTGGGCAGAGAGAGAACTTACCTCAAAATGATAAAGGCCATATATGACAAACCCAAAGCCCACATCCCTCTCAATGGTGAAAAACTGAAACCATTTCACCTAAGATCAGGAACAAGACAAGGTTGCCACTCTCACCAATATTATTCAACATAGTTTTGGAAGTTTTAGCCACAGCAATCAGAGAAGAAAAAGAAATAAAAGGAATCCAAATCAGAAAAGGAGTAAAACTGTCACTGTTTGCAGATGACATGATACCATACATAGAGAATCCTAAAGATGCTACAAGAAAACTACTAGAGCTAATCAATGAATTTGGTAAAGTAGCAGGATACAAAATTAATGCATAGAAATTTCTTGCATTCCTGTACACTAGTGATGAAAAATCTGGAAGAGAAATTAAAGAAACACTCCCATTTACCACTACAACAAAAAGAATAAAATACCTAAGAATAAACCTACTTAAGGGGACAAAAGACCTCTATGTAGAAAACTGTAAGACACTGATGACAGAAATTAAGGATGATACAAACAGATGGAGAGATATACCATGTTCTTGGATTGGAAGAATCAATATTGTGAAAATGACTATACTACCCAAAGCAATCTACAGATTCAGTGCAATACCTAGCAAATTACCAGTGGCATGTTTTACAGAACCAGAACAAAAATCTTAAAATTTGTATGGAGACATGAAAGACTCCGAATAGCCAAAGCAATCTCAAGAAAGAAAAACGGAGCTGGAGGAATCAGGCTCCCAGACTTCAGACTATACTGCAAAGCTACAGTAATCAAGACAGTATGGTACTGGCACAAAAACAGAAATATAGATCAGTGGAACAGGATAGAAAGCCCAGAGATAAACCCACGCACATATGGTCATCTTATCTTTGATAAAGGAGGCAAGAACATATAATGGAGAAAAGACAGCCTCTTCAATAAGT